ACCATAATCTGTCTATAGATTTCTATAGCATTATTTGAAACTAGCCAAATTTTATTCAAAATCATGAAAAATAATTTTAAATAGATTTTCACTGCAAAAACAATTTTGCATCAAACAAAAGTAATAAATGATGTTGAATAGTCATCTTCTGTGAAAAATAAGTTGGGGCAGGGGGATTCTCACAGTAAAGTTTTATCCATGTTCTTTCTCTCAAGATAAAGCCAGTCCCTGACTGTCTACATAGATTTTCTGCATCATTTCACAGACTTACTTTTCTCAGAAATAGTCATCAAAAAAAAAAATACCCTAATGTTTATCTTCCAGTTTTACCCGAAGCACATTTTTACAGCCAACTGTAAAATTCTTAAAATCAAATGGAAAATACTAATATGACCATGAATGGAAACCCTAATCTGACTAATTCACATATTTTGTAAGAGTCAGCTTTAGGACATAATATACACAAACATCAGGCATTAAGTCATTCTTAATATTTAAACCAAATTCATATTTTCTACATTTAAAGGTATATTACTTTCCCTTCTTATGGAGTTAATCAGTCTATAACATGCTTTTCAAGAAGGATTCTTATTTTAAGAAATTACATGTTGATTTAATTATCTGACACACAAATGTTGGTGGAATTTTAAGTTATGTTCCTCATTTTTTCCAACATTTATTTGCTTATCTTCCATTCATAAATATTTATCCTAACAAAGGGACCAAGTGAATTGTGCAACAGAACACCAGAAATGACCACCTGCATCTAGCTGAGGAGAGTAGCTGATTAGCTTTGAGCAAAGGCACACTCACAATGTCTGGGCTGACCCCCTTTTGAACCAGGCTGTTCTGACTTGACCAACTGAGTGAAGATTCCACATCACCAAAATAACTCACTAAGAAGGAACCAAGATATATCATAATATAAAATAACATATTAACCAGGATTCCCTTTCTTTTGAGACAGAGCCTCAAGCTGTCCCCTGGGTAGAGTGCTGTGGCATCGCAGCTCACAGCAACCTCCAACTTCTGGGCTCAAGTGAGTCTCCTGCCTCTACCTCCCAAGTAGCTGGGACCACAGGCGCCCGCCACAACGCCTGGCTATTTTTTTTGGTTGGAGCCATCATTGTTGTTTGGCGTTAACCAGCATTCCAAACACAATCCATATAATTTTTTAAATATTACTTAATCTGATTTACTTTATTTGAAGGTTTTTTACTCTTCAGGTCACAGAGAAGCAACTTAACTCATAAGCTGTGTCATTCTACAGAGCCACTAAGACATCAGAGATCTGTGTGATTGTCACGTTGCAAACTACTGAATCATGATCCCTACTGTTTTCCCATGATATACTTCTGATGTGTTTTTAATATGTTTAGTATGAGAAAATGGTCCCATAAGATTTATAAAGGCACCAAACATGTTTACACCATGTAAACATTCTATAAATCCTGTAATGGTTTTCCAAAGTGCTCATTTGGTTGAAATGCAAAACCTAGTCTTAAATAACTACATACTTTCCAGGGGAACACTGCAGCTAGCCTTTGGAAGCATCCTTAGAAACAACAAGGTAAATATGCCAACCGGAACAAAATGATTAAATTCACTAGTTAACTTGCTTTCAACATGTACAATCTCTGGGAACTGATTATTACTCATCCTTTTCTTAGATTTGCTTTTCTCTGGCATGACCAACATTGCCCTAAAATGTCAACTAAGAATACAGAATAGAAGTGAAAGAGGAAAAACTGGATCTGCTTTAGGTTATCTGATCTAGACTATTTTTCTCTAGAATTCATTTAATCATGTCTTTTGGAAAGCACAGAAATACGGATGTCAAGGGCTCCTTTGAATTATCTTTTAGATAAATATGTATCTGTGGGCAATATTGAAGAGGCTTTTCTTACAACAGACACGAACTTTGAGCTATGAAATAAGATAATGCATTCAAGATCAGCCAATGAAGTACCTCCTGCCGCCTTCCCAAGTATAACAAGAGTTCTCAAATTTATTTTATACTACAAGTTAATGGTGGGGAGGAAACAAACATATTTAAAGCACACTATATGAAAAGAAAGTTCTACAATCAAGCAGTGCCTGTGGCTCAAAGGAGTAGGGTGCTGGCCCCATATACTGGAGGTGGCAGGTTCAAACCCAGCCCCAGCCAAAAACTGCAAAAAAAAAAATAAAAGACAGTTCTACAATGAACTATCACCACATGCAAAAAAGAGTTTTGTTAACAAAGCTATTCCCACAGTGGTGGGGCGGTGATCCAGAAAAAAAGAGTGCTTTGACCTGGTTATAATAAACTCACTCTCTCCTGGTCTTTAACAAATTATCACTCTCAAAGATTTTCCTTTTTTCAAATGTCAATCCTCACTGTTAGAAGTTCAAGTTCATTTCCTTTTTCTGAGGAGCGACTTCTGAATCAAGAAGAAAAATTTAATACAGTATTCAAAATAAATAAAAATACAAAAGTAGGTTTATTATGACTTTGAAAAAAAACAGCTATGGTATTGAAGATTTTAAAACAACAAGTTATATTTGGATAAGAGAAACTTCTCTTTCCTTTTTTTTTTTTAAGAGACAAGAGTCTCATTTTGTCTCTCTCGGTGGAGAGCTGTGACATCACAGCTCACAGCAACCTCCAGCTCTTGAGCTTACACGATTCTCTTGCCTCAGCCTCCAGAGTAGCTGGGACTACAGGTGCCCACCACAATGGCAGGGTAAGAGATACTTATCTTTCTTATCTAAACAAGCCAATCTCCCTTAAAAACTGAAACAAAGCACTCTCACTATTTGGAGCCTCTGGTAAAGAAGGAAATGTTTAGTACTCAGATCTGAGGTCCTAAAGAGTCATGAAAAGTTGTATTTTAAATATCCTTCAAGAAAAACTTAACTCAGTAATTGGCCACCTGAAAAACTGGCAGAGCAAACAGATATAAATGCCAAGATATTTATCTGAAATCACAAATCATGCCCAACTCTTACTGTATTTGGTTTGTCTAAACTGCACTGTGCCCTCATCAACGACCTACAATAGTCTCCAGCGATAGAGTAGGCCACAGGTGCTTCCATTAAGAGCTTAAAACCTAGGACTCAAAGATCAAAAGAAATCCACAGTTCCAAGGACTTCTCAAAGACAATGAGAAAGGCTTGAATTTGTTGATTATTTGTTCTTCTATCTTAATGCTTCCTTCATGCAATTCTATGCTCACTTTTAACCTGGTTTCTTATTACTTTCCATTTCTAGTGTATCCCACTCTATAGCTTAAGAGAGAATATTTTATGATTCCTGATCCCTCCCTACCTTTCACTTTAGCAGGCTTCTAGTCAATTTCACTGACATGTTCTTAATAGCACACGGGCTGTGGAGTGGCAAAAATGCAGAGTGACACTGAAAGTACATACCTTACACTCTTTAGGGTACAGTTCTCTGTGAATTATTCTTGTCTTAAGCAAAGTAGCACCCCATATAGTAAAGACCAGTAAAGATGTGCAAAAATACCATGAGAAAATCACCTCCAGTTGAGCTTGGTTTGTTTTAGGAACACAGATGCTTCTGACACACAACACATTCAAGTGTATTAGTTTTAATACTTTCACAGAAATCATGTCATCTGAACTAAGGTTAGAAAGATGTACCTATGGGCAGAGTTTGTCATCAAATGAAGTCATCTCTACATTCTTTTGCTAGAAGTACAAACACATTTTAAAAGAAACACATTAGAAAGATGCTCATATACACACCAAACAGAAGTAGAACCCAATATCCAAGCCTTATTTGAAAATTAAAGCAAATTATTTGTAAAGGCATACAAAGCTTAATGTTTTCAAAAAAAAAAGCTCATCAACTATGAATAGGTCATTATTAAAATACTGCAGTACATAAATAAATAGTTCCTTAGTTCCTTCCCACAAAGGTATCACACATAACCTAGAAGAAATACTTAATTTTATTGGTACAACTCCCTCTGAAAATAAATGTTCTACAAATAATCATTGCCTTTATCCTATAATACTGTGTTTTAAAAATAAAGCCTTGCTTCTCAAATCAAGCTTCCATAAAACAGCAATAGAAGCCTTAAAATCATTTAAAGAGGTTTGATTGTGTCCCAGTATAGGGCATGAAAGGGGATTGAACAATCAACCACACAGACAGTGAGCTTTTATCAACTCGACCTATCAGTGCTGAGCCTGATGTGCTACTGGAGAGAGCAATTGAGTGTTTTCCCCACAGGCTGTAACTGATTATTGACTCCCCCCATTAGCATGTGGGGTACATATTGAAGGTTCAAATAGAAGGCTGAGGGACTCCTGTCCCAAGGCCAGTGCTGAAAGACAGCCTATCACTTCGTGTAACTGCAGTCCATGTGTGACAAACATGACCTACATTTTCTCCCTTTCTTTCTCACAACAGCTTGTCACTGTTTTAACAAGCTATTTTCCAAAAAGCATAGAAGAAATGACTTTTAAAACTGCTGGTAATGTGCCTTCATGAAATATCATTCATAATAATCTCATAAGGAATAGATTTTCCAGGAGATAATCATAAAACTTAGCCTAAAATAAACTTAAAGACAGGAGAGAGCTTGATGTTATTACCCTACGCAGTATTGTTGTTTACTTGGTCATTTATACAGCATACAGTCTTAAAAGAACTACAATTAAAATTTTAATACATGATTAATCAAATTTAACAAAAAGTTTTAAACATACAAAGTGTATTAATTAGGAATATATAATTAAACATTTTTCAATAGTTATAAAAGTAGCTTTCAAGGCTTCACAAGAAGCCATATCCTAGTAGTTTTGTTAACTTCTCAATGGATACACAGTAATCACTACTAAGAATAGGGCATAATTAAAAACAGTGATGGAAGGGAGGAGTAGGGCGACAATAATAACTTGGTGCAAATGCTGGGAAAAGCTCCCCAGCAATGGCTGCACACTGTGCTTCAAAGAGTTGCTGATGTTGTTGGCTCCTCACAGGTACCTACCACGGCGCTGCAGGTCATATTCCCTTTTCGTCTCTTCATTCCCTAGAATTTTCCATGCCTGATCAATTTCGATGAACTTCTGTATACATTTTTCCACTGTTCCTGCTGGTACATCTGTACTTTGTTTATCTGGATGATACTGTCAATCAAAAATAGGGGGGAGTGGTGAAGAGAGAGTTGAATAGGGGTAGGTAAAAAAATAATAATAATTGTAAATCTCAGCTTTAGCTGAGAGAAGGTAATGAGAAGATGAAAACGAAGATGCCGAGGCAATGAGACAACAGTGTTGGGCACAGGAGACAACTGCCAGGTTAATTAGACCACTGGAGTAGCTTTAAATTCACCAGTGACTTGATCTGTCACAACGTGCAAAGACAGCATTTTCTGGATAATTTGCTCAAGGAATCATTGGTCTCATGGACAATTTACCTAGAGAGGATGACTAACACAAATAGAAATAAGTACGTGCAGACAAGCAGGACATGAAAAAGAAGAACACAAACTATGCAGAGTCGGAAGCTTACGTTACATAACGTGCTTGGCTGCAAAAATCATTATAAAATGGACTATCAGGTTTTTCTCAGGCAATTATACAGTTATCCCATAAAAATAAAAATAAAAGTGTACCTAATTATAATTATCGAACATTTCGTCTTCTTCCCTAGCCTTTTCTTATGTGAGTTTTCTAAATCTAACACATTTTTAAGAATGTTTTCAATATGTAGTAATTTCTTTACATTATTTAGTCTAAGTCAGAAAGTTTTACATCAATTCATCCATTCTTAAATGCTAATGTAAATGTAGCTTAGGAACAGGAATCTAGTAATATCACTTCTATTCCTTCCTTCCTCCCCTTCTAATTTCTATGGGGTTCTTTTCTCCCTTTTCTTTTTATCCAACAGTTCTGGTAGCATCAATATGTCATCTGCTTTTCAGGAGTCTCTCAACAAACAAACGAGGAAAGGTTGGCTAAATTTAGAGACATTTCATTTAAACAATCTGGGGATAACAGCAGCAGATAATTCAAATACATATATACATATTTTTCCTCTCAATTAAAAAACCACTTGATAGAATTTATACAGTATTTTCAACCAGTAATGACTCTGAAAATTTTATCTAATATATTATAGAATATATTTTAATTTCAAAAGTAAACTGAACACAACTTTTCTTTATTTCTTTTTTCCCTCCAAGTTCTTACAGGCCAACATCCATATTCACAATGCTTGACACATCAATGTGGCTAGTTCACACACTCATCAATTAATGGTACAGTCATTTCAATTCCTACATTGACTGCTTTATAGACATTAGAAGAGCAGAAAAAATGTTAAGTACCATATCATTTATTATCCAAGTTTCTAAGGCCAAAGTCACTCAGTAAACTGTGACAAGTATCATAAAGCCAAAAAACTTCAATTTTCAATACAGAACTCAAAAAATATGTAAGTTTTTAATTACAGCCTGTACTACCCTTATCACTGGATTCGTTTTACGTTAATGCAATCCCTATCAAAATTCCAGCAGTGAGCAATACACAGTACTGTAATAAAGAGTCTAAAAACAGACCATGTGGTCAACTGAATTTCAACAATGTGACAAAGGAACTCAAGGAGCAAAGTATGTAACAAATTGTTTTGAAAGGACTGGATATCCATGTGGGGAAAAAAAAGATAACCTCAATCCTTACCTTATTCTATGCATAAAAATTAATTGAGGATGAATCATAGAAATAAAAATTTAAAAAACTATAAATAACCATAAAGAAACCAGTTTTCCTCTTAGAGTAGGCACAGACTGCTTTGACAGAAAGCAAAAAACATAAACTATATAACTCAAAACTGATAAACAGAACTTCAGCAAATTTTATAACTCTCTACTCAAGGAAGACACCACTAAGAAAATCAATAAACAAGCCACAAAGTGGGGAAAAACACTAGCTGCATATATCTCTAACAAATACTCTTATCCAGAATATATACACACAAAACTTATAAATTGATAAAAACCCAAACTAAAAATCAGGGGAAAAACTTGGAAAAACTCTTTTCCAAAGATAATGTGCAGATCTATGCTCAAACTTTTTTATTAATAATTAGGAAAATGCAAATTAAAATCACCATGAACTATTACTACACATCTAACAGAATGGATAAAATACAAAAGACTGATAACACAAATGTTGGTAAGAACATAAAATAACTGGAACTCTCATATACTGCCGGCAAGAAACTATAAGGTAGGTGCTTATAAAGTTACTTAAACATCTACTCCATAATCAAGAATTCTACACCTAGATATCTACCTATGAGAAATAAAACATAAAGGTCTATCAACAGGAGAACAGATAAATTGTATTAAATCCATATAAAGGAATATGACTCTATAGTAAGAGTATAAAAATTACGGTATAACACATAAACCTTACGTTAAGCCAAAGAAGCAAGAAAAAAATCAGCATATACTGTGTGATTACATTGGTATGAAGTCCAAATTTAGTTGGTTTCCAGGTGCGAAGAGCGGGTGGGAGTTAAGGGAGGGGACACAAAGGAACTTTATGGTTTTTCATTTTTAAAATTTCATATTAATGTGAGGGTACAAACAATTAGTACAAAACAACTTTTTGGAGGAATGGAAGTGTTCTATACCCTGTCTGGGGTGGTGGTTACATGGTATAAAAACTCACCAAACTTTTAAGACCCATGCATTTTTCATTATATGTTGACCATATCTCAGAAATAAATCTTTAGATATGTTTAAACTAAAAAAAGGGAATTTAGCAAATCTTTCTAAACCAAAGGAAAAAATGAAAAATTCTTCCAATATTAATAGAAAAGTACAAAACAGAGAAGTCAATGAAAAAAACTAATATTAGTAATAAATGTGAACTAATTTATGGAAATATAGTTTTATTACTTTTGAGTAAATGTGCCGACTCAGATTTGATTCTAATAACTAAAAAAATTAAAAAAAAATTAAGTGTTGGCTGAGTGTGGTGGCTCATGCCTAAAATTCAAACACCTTGGGAGGTCCAAGCAGGAGGATCACTTGAAGCCAGACGTTCAATATCAGCTTGGACAACACAGCAAGACCCCATCTCGACTAAATAAATACATAAATAAATAGCTGGGAATGGTGGCATGTGTCTGTTCTCCAGCTACTTGGGATGCCAAAATGGGAGGATCACTTAAGCCCAGAAGTATGAGGTTGCAATGAGCTATGACAGCACATTGCCCTATAGGCTGGGTGACAGTGAGACTCTGTCTCTTAAAGAAAAGAAAAAGTTAAGTGTTGCTGAGTTGAAAGCCAAAGAACATCCAATTTTTTTTTTTTTCCTGAGACAGAGCCTCAAGCTGTCCCCATGGGTAGAGGGCCATGGCATCACAGCTCACAGCAACCTCCAACTCCTGGGCTCAAATGAGTCTCCTGCCTCAGCCTCCCAAGTAGCTGAGACCATAAGCGCCCACCACAATGCCTGGCTATTTTTTTTGGTTGCAGCCATCGTTGTTGTTTGGTGGGCCCAGGCTGGATTCAAACCCGCCACCTTAGGTGTATGTGGCTGGCGCCTCAGTCACTTGAGCCATAGGTGCCGAGCCAGAACATCCAAAATTAAAATACCATAAATAAGTCACAATAATAAAAATACTAATAGTGACAGCATTTCTATGTGATCGTTATCTGTACAAAGGTGTTGATTTCCAAACTTTTTGCTAACTTATTTTACTACTCTCAGATGACACAATGTTATGATCTCAGTAACTTATATTTGTAAATTATAAAATTTTTCAATTTTTAATTACATAAATGTTTTAGTTAAATTTATGTTCTTTAAATTTCTAGATCATTTAATCAGAATAAGAAAAACTAACAGAAAAGATTAAGGAACTATTTTGATATAAAAATAGAGGGTCATGATACTACAAAATACCGAAAATTATGTAATTTTCATCAGGATTGGTATATGTTATCTGTTTCCTAAATGAGTAATTTTATAATTGATAACTAGTGCTTTAATTATGAAATATTAATTCTCATTAGCTGAGATTTTATGGCAAGGGACTATGCAATATGAAACGCTGTATTTTGATTTTAAATTCTCTCCACATACATATTAAGTCTAAGTACTTTCTAAATCACTAAATCTTGAGTGACTCTCATGATGTACCACCCCAGCACTACTCAAAACGTGGTCCTCAGATTTACAGCATCAACCTTATCTGAAAGCATTTTAATAAAACCAATTCTTGGATCCCATCCAAAAATTTCAGAGAGAGATTCCAGAATCTGTTTTGCTAAAACCACCAGGCAATTATTAGGTATACTAAAGTTTGAGAAGAACACTGTTAGCTTCTACTGCTTAAAACATGGAATTTAAATGCAAGTCAGAAAGTTAACACTTCATAAGAATTTTTCCATGACAGATGTATCCCTCTCGAAATATGTACAAGGGAAATAGTAAAAGATAATAAATGCTGAATGAGTGATAATTGTCCAATTATGTTAACCTGTAACACCGCAAGGAAAATTACATTGTCTTCCAAGTCAGAAATATTTTGATACCTTTTGTCTACCAAACATATATGTCAATCTTTCATTCCATTGGTTGTACTAATATCAAGGATTACTTGAAGAAGCTGATGAACTCTGAACAATATGCCAGTGATACATTAGCCTGTTGACTTTTTTTTTTTTTTAAAGAGGGGACATAATTTGTATTAGGCTTCAGCTACCAAACACTACAGTGTCCACTGATAGGTTTAGCACAGAGACAAGTGTTTTTCAACTGAAAGAGAAAAAAATGATGTATAAATTGTGAAAATAGGATATTATAAAACAGTATAAGAATTCTAACAATTTCTAAAAGATTTTAGTGAAAAGTTAAATATTCATTAGCTTCAAATGAACTTTTCAACGGGCTAAGCAATATACAAAGTTGAAATGAAATTGTATTTCTTTACAGTACACATACAACAGAGTTGTTCGGGGGTATTTTGGGGGGTTTTTTGTGAGACAGAGTCTCACAAAAGCTGTGATGACAACATGGCACTCATGGGTTGTCATCATAGCTTACGGCAACCTCAAACTTTTGAACTCAAGTGATCCTCATACCTCAGCTTCCTTAGTAGCTGGGACTAC